TAAAAAACCTAACTTAGATATGTATCACTTTCTTGGAAAACCCTGTATAATTAAAATTATTTTTAAATTGTTGCCTTTTCTGATATACATCTTGCTAACAGATATAGGTTTGGCTCTACAGACCGAAGCGTTACCGGTGGCCCATCCTGTATATATAAAAAAAGTATAAAAGTAATTATCAAAAATATGGTTTTAATTTGCAACACACCCTGTAGAACAGTGATTCGTAATTTTTTGACGCCCACCTTTTCGAAATAAATAAATAAATGAAGTGGTCAAGTTAATACAGAAATATTGAGAAATCAAAATTGCAAGTTTCTTATAACAGATTGACATTAAAGAACAAAACATTCTTATTTATAGCAAGCAATAATGATATCTAGAGAGTAAATTAACAAAAAAAAACAGATCCATATACATAAAAAGTAAACAATTTCGAAAAAAAAAATTCAGAACCATTTTGAATGTCGTAGAATTCCCTACAACAAGTATTAAAAGTAATTTTAAAAAACCGACTTCAAAATCGTGCAGATATCGTCATCACATCTTAACCAAATTTATATGAGACCACCCTTGAGGTACCCCCTTTCTAACAAAAAAGAATCATAGAAATCGGACAAGGTGGTAAAGAATTATCGCTAAACATACATAAAAAATGAAGAGTTTGAAGATGAAGTGTAAAGGTTAAAGAAAAGGTCCTTTATTTCTCACACTTGTGAGAAATAAAGGACCTTTTCTTTAACCTTTACACTTAATCCCTACTACTCACATATGGCTACCCTCACTCCAAAAGTTTGAAGATTTTTCTCATGGACCCAATTATTAGATTTTGATCAAATTTATATGGGACCACTCCTGAGGTACCCCCTTACTAACAAAAAAAGAATCATAATAATTGGACAAGGTGGTAAAGAATTACCGTTAAACATGCATTAAAAATGAAGAGTTTTGAGGATTTTATAATGGATCCAATTATTAGATTTTGATCAAATTAATATGGGACCACCCCTGAAGTACCCCCTTTCTTACAAAAAAAGAATCATTGAAATCGGACACCGTATTAAAGAATTATCGCTGAACATACATACAAAAAAATATTATGACGAATTGAGAACCTCCTCCTTTTTTGAAGTCGGTTAAAAAAGTGCGGATTTTATCAAAATAAATTAAATTTTTCCAAACATAATTCTTTTTAGTCATGAGTAAATTGTTCGTCGAAAAATCCGGAAGTGCGAGTTTTGCAAAAAATTTGTCAACATCCAAAAATAACTAGTCGTTTATATTTTAGTAAAAAAATATAGAAAAACCAGCATTTTTCGAGAAAAGTGATTAAAAACTGTATTTTGTTGTTTGTATAAAATGCAGTATACCTATATAGAGAAATGGTATTTAACATTTTTTTTCGTCATGAAATATACCACCCCAAAACATTTTTTTCCCATATTTGTACAAGGAAACATCACTAATTAAAAATTATATGTCTATTCTACATGAAATACCAAAATAATTTAAAAATGACATAACCGAACTCACATAAAAAATGAATTGCATGTCGTCTGAAATCAAAACAATTAAAAAAAATCCTCTTTTCGTCCAACTGACAGATCAAAGAATTCTTGCTTCGCTACTTCTACCAAACAACCCTAAGTTGCCTAAACATTAATTGTTATAATAAACACAACATAAAATTTAGAAATATCAATTGATTAAAATATATATTTTTCCACAAATATGCTCACAAATATTGGTAAAAGTATTATTAGTACCTGCGCTATACATTTCGAACCACATGAAATAGTCTTTTTTCAATAAACACAACAAAGGCTAATTAAAACATAAATACACAAAAATGCGATAAAAAAAATCAGAAACTTGACAACCACACATCAAGACTCAAAAGTATTAGCGAATTGAAATTATTACGCAGCTATCAAGGAATAGATACATACCTACCTACTTTTCAACATCCGCAATAAAAAATAGTTCCAACTTTTGGAATGGTCATATTTATGAATTTTGACTATATAATCAGCATTTTTTTTTTCAAAAAATCAAGAAATACCTATCTGTAGTTTTATTTAAAACATAATATATGTCAAACTCTTGTACTTTTGTGACACTAAAGTGATATTTCACCAAAAATACTAATGCATTGAATGATATAATAAAGGTATGTTCTGGTTCTTCAAAAATATGTTGAAAACTGTCCGTGTATTAGATAGCCAGTGCATAGTTGAAAAGTTTTACACTACGCATAATTTGATATTCAGCTGTTCCACTGGATCTCGGACGGTTTGCAGTACATTTTGAAAAACCAGAACAAGTCTATAAATTCAAAGAGAGAAATATGATGAATCTAAAAATATCGTAATAACAATGATTTATCCATTGGTACTTATTTACTAATCAATCTCGATGGTACACTTAACTTATACAAGCAAAACTAGTTGTAAATTTATAAAAAAATTCATGTAGGTAGGTACCAAAAACAAATCTAGGTATTTAGGGTTAAACCTTTTATCAATTATTATCTAAAACTAATATGAAATAAACTTACCATAAGCAGGAAAAATAATTTTGTATATTTTTAACACGTATGAACATAAATCACTATTTTTTTTTAAATTTTTCTCAAGAGCGTCCACTTCACATCACTATTAGCCACCATTTTCTTATGCAAGTAATTTTTTGATTGGTTGTCGTGGCCTTCTTGATTTAAAAATTTTTATAAAACAGTTTTTGCTCGCTGCAAAAAAATTAACGAAATAAGAATGCAATGAATTCAAATCAAGGTCAAAGTGTATACAGGATGTCCACTTATTTTTAAAAAATATTTAAATATATTTTGTTTTAATTTTGAATACTATAATAATTATACTTTATTGTTATTTTCTAGACGTGGTAATTTTGATACTTTACCGGTAGTATATTGAAGCAGGGTCGTATCAAGGCACAATTTTTTAACAAACTTCAATTCGTCGGATGTTTTTCTTATGTATGTTCAGCCATAATTCTTTACTACGTTGACGGATATATATGATTCTTTTTTTGTTAATTTCTTTCGATATGGAATGTAAGATCTCCCCAAAATGTCTACTGATATATGTCTTCTTTAAAAAAACGACACTTCTTTAAGGCTGTATGTCACGATACTAAATTAAGTACTAAATTTAGCACTAAATTAAGTTATTAATTTAGTACTAAATTTAGAACTAAAAATATTTTTTTTCCGTTTGCAACGATACCAATTTTTAGTACTAAATTTACTATAGGCGCACGCGCATTGACGTATTAATACGTGAAATTAGCAGAGAAATGAAATATTCTGTGTGAAACAGACAAGTGAAGTAAATGGTGTTTTTATTATCAATTTGACACTAGTTGACTTGACAACAACCAAATACAGCATAATAACCACGAAAAAAACACAATAAAACCTACAAAATCAAACAAGCAAACTTTATTCAAGGCGATAATGTAAAATTGCCGCTAATTAAAAATAAAAGGGTACAGAAAATACCGTCGTGTCAACTTTTTCTATGAAAAACTTCTGCGCAATATGTTCAATGTCGTGGTTACAGGTCAAAAAATTTCGAACAAACATCAAGAGTTCCGCAGGGATCAATTTTAGGTCTTCTTTTATTTATAATTTTTATAAATGATATAGTCGCTAATATCGAGCATATTAAAGTTTTAACGTATGACGATGACCTAAAATTATTGCTTGAAATCAATTCTGTTAACCATTGCTTGCGACTTCAAAAGTGTTTGTCCGACATTGCGAAGTGGTGTCTCGATAATTCACTCCCTCTAAATCCTGAGAAATGTTCCGTAATGTCCTTTACTAAAAAAGTAACACCTATAATTTTTGATTATAAACTACAGAACATTACCCTTAGTAATATAGAAACAATTATAATATCCGGGTATATCATATGATGCTGTCGAGCATTATATCAGCCACGTGTATCCCTTAGCAAAGGGCCTTGGGCGTCCATTAATTACGTGAGGTGTTCAAGGGGGGAGGGGATCAAGCTAAATCTGTCCAAATCTCACTTGGGGAGAGGGGGTCTTTGTAAATCTGACGTAATTTTCAGAAAACGGTGTAAAATTGTGTGAAAGTTAAGTTAAATTAAAGAATGTTTCTAGAAATTTTATATTGTGGCAATATTCTCAAATACTAGTCTAGAATATTGCCACAATATAAAATTTCTAGAAACATTCTTTAATTTAACTTAACTTTCACACAATTTTACACCGTTTTCTGAAAATTACGTCAGATTTACAAAGACCCCCTCTCCCCAAGTGAGATTTGGAAAGATTTAGCTTGATCCCCTCCCCCCTTGAACACCTCACGTAATTAATGGACGCCCCCTAAAAAGTAATAATTACTATTATTGGCCTGTAATAAGCACTACAATAACAGAATATAAGCACTGGCCTATCATGTAATTAGTTACATTTAGGATGATATAACTCTGAACGGACAAGTAATTGAGAAGAGTCGTAATGAGTAATGTTTTCTTTAAAAATATCTTTCAATTGGTATATTACTTATTCTTATTGGGGGTGAGACAATTTTCCATACATTTCTGTCCTTTGAGCAAATGATTACAGTTGCTGGTCAATCTCTGCATCAATTAGAGAGAAAGAAAATAAAGAAATGTCTTTGACGATATCGTGACATTTTTGTACCATTGGAGGAAAAACAGGAATAACTTCTGTAAAACATAAAATCGACACTGGTGATGCCATGCCAATTTGTCAATCATCTCAAAGATTACCAAAGGCAAAGAAAGAGGAAACTGAAAGGATTGTTATTTTTATGATAAATTTGTAGTTTAATCCAGACCGAATTGCAGGACACCATCAGAGGTTTTCCATATCAATACATAAATATTGTGTAACTTTTTCAAAATTGAAAATATTCTATTATCGCCACCACAGGCCGAGGATGCCCGCAAGGTGGAGATTTTGTAAAAAATAAATAAAACAAATAATGATAGAATCAATAACATTTATTAATGGTCTTTTGTTTTCGTACATTACTTCCACCGGCAATTCTTCGACCTCTGCAAAATAATAAATAATCTCAAAAGATTCTAAGAGGTCGCACGTCTTTTCTTAGTACAATAAAATCTTAGAAACCTTATACAGAGTCAGTCTCTATTTTACGAATAAGCTATTTTATATACATAAATGTCGCCATTACATTCTTTTCACAATATACAAATTATTTAAACTACAACTAGACATCACAATCTTTAAAAATCATCTGAGGATCCATTAAAAAATACTCAATATAGGAATAGATTCAGCGAGTCTTTGTAAATAAACTAATGTTGCCATAGAACAAATTAAAATATCGATAAAATCTTTGGGAAACTTGAATTGTATACAGAGACACGCTGATGTATTTAAAGACATGTAAGACACGATTAATAATTCTAATTAGTACGTGGATGGAACGATAATTATTGGTTAAAGTTGCTGATAGATAAATTAATGATTCTTCAGGCACTATATTTCTTTATTGCGCATTTCCAGTTTATTAGAGATCAAATTAATAAAATTTATCAGTCAAAGGTTGTAAAAATTTAACAGAAATTTAGAATTCAGTTTTATCGTTTTTAACCTACAAATACACTCAATCAATACATAGTTTTCCATGCATTGTTACACCGAGTTTCTAGTTTGAAACAAATAATTATATCTAAGAAAAAAGCAATACTAATAATTAATCAAATTTAAATTATTATAGAATATTTGAGCAATATATGTATGTAGGAGGAAGGGATGGAAAGTTTCCAGTTTGGTCTAGAAGTGGCGCTATTTGCGGTAAATTTTTTGCTAGTTTATAACAATATTTCATAAAAACATTTCCATATCAAAGCATGGGCGGTTCCAAGGGAGGGGGGGATTATGGGGGCCTTCATAAAAATATTTCCATATCAAAGCATGGGCGGTTCCAAGGGAGGGGGGGGATTATAGAGGACCCCCTCTGACTGAAAATTCTTAGGATTTATGAGCCTTTTGATCAAAAAAATATGCTAAAAAAGGAATGTCAAAGGCAATGCAATGGCAGAAATACATTAATAAGATTTTGAGACGGTATCTGAAATCTGAGGCTCAATATTCGCCAGATTTGCCCCCGTAAACTTTAGTTTGTTACTTATTTTGAGGAATTACATAAATACGCAGGGATGGCATAAAAGTTTTAAAATTAAGGAGATGTTTCTATACCAAAACCGGTAAATTTCCATTCCTTCCTTATGTATACTAAAAAAAATACAGGCTAATAATAAAATTAGTTAACATGCATTTATTAAAGTTATGTTATTAGTTATTACTAAATATAAAGTGCGTCTACTTAAGTTTGCAGTATATGGAAAAGAAATTATAAATAATTTTACAGAAAAAAGTTTTCTTCATAAAAAGTTTTGAATAGTCTAAAACCTAAAATGCAATCATCTGATATCAAGTTTTTTTCAGTCTAGTACGTGGTTTGCCAAAAAGAAGAAAGAAAACTATAAAAAAAATAATGAAATCCTAATTTCCAGTGCATATGGATGTAATTACATGTTATATTGTCAAAAATAAAGGTGCTTTAGTACAAACTTGCTAAAAATTCATATTTTTTGATAAAAAACCTCTTATAAAATTGAAAAATACTGTGATGGTTGCATCTTAGGTTTTAGACCACACAGATCTTATTATAAAGAATAAGTTTTTATCGTAAAATTATTAATAAAGTAGACACACTATGTTAAACGCCTTTTAAAGCTCATTGACACTCTATATTTTCAAAACAAAAGATTTTTCTTAAAAAAAAATGGAAATCCATATTTGGCACATTGAAAACAAATAAATTTCCTAAAACTAGTCAGTGATTTACTACCCGTAAGCTGTTGATGACTAAAAATTACTACAATTTAAAAATATATTGAAAATTAGTGTATTTAGAATGAAATTAACTAAAGTTCACAGGATATGGGAAACTTTTTTTATTATTAACTTTACGATAAAAAGTTATTCGTCATAGAAAGTTCTGCATGGTCTAAAACCTAAAATGCAACCATCAAATAACAAATTTTCACAATAGTATACGAGATATGTCAAATAAAATGAATTTTACTGAATAGACAGTCAACGTACCTTTATTTTTGACAAACCTTGTATATTACTCATACAATTTTATATTTGATGGTTGTAGTTTAGGTTTTAGACGATGCACAATATTTTATAAAGAATATATTTTTTCCTAAAATAATTTTGTCAAAAATACTCTTCAGCAAAATTCATATTATTTGACATACCTCGTATACTATTATAAAAATGTGATATCTGATGGTTGAAGTGTCAGACCATGCAGAACTTTTTATGAAGAATAACTTTTATTCGTAAAGTGGACACACTGTATGTAAAAAAAAATAAAATTAGCTTGACATAAGGGTAATAATTTGAGCAAATTAGGCAGTACATTAACCTTTGAATTTTCAATACTTTTTTCTAGTCAACACTACTCAAAATTTAATACGAACATTAATCAACATTTAAAAACAAATCAGTCAAAAACTCGGTAAAAACTGAAACGTAGTTTGCTTAAAAAACACAAAATTTGCTAATTTTAAAATAATTGTTAAAATAAAAAAATAACTAAAAATCAACCTTCTAACCAGTGTCTTACATATAAAACATAACTTACCTTTTTTTAATCAATTATTAAATATTTTAATTTTTGGTAACTGAGCAAGAATATACAACATCACAAAATGTCAAAGACAAAAAAATTTGCTAGTACTTTATTACGCGATAACAAGCGGTTCGTCGTCGGAAAATCCTCGAATGTGAGGACTATCGTCTTCTTCTAAATTGTTATCATCAAAAGTAGCAGCTTCCGATCTGGTATCGTAATGAGAGTTAGAGAATCGGGTGAAGTTGCTTTGAAGCCTTTTATTTCTTATTATTAGGAATCCGATTATTGCAAGCAACGCGAGCAACACCAACATACTTGGCACTACAATGGCGGTCATGTTTGGGGGAGCTTCGATGTTGAGATTTTCTCTGCTGATCAATTCCGAGGTTTGCGAATTGAGGCCTTTATGCGTCCGTATTCGCACCGCGAACGTGTAAGCGTTCGATGAAGAGTTGGTGTAAATGAATGGTGGTTTATCTATCGGGTAAACGTTAGCAGTAGTTTCGTTTAATGTATTTCCACTTTGAACTAGTACTTCGTATTTGTATTTTCCAATGTTTGTGGGTAGGTTGGAGTCTTTCCAGTTGACTATGTAGCTGCCGTTGGGATGCGAAGACACCTAGAAATTGTAATTGTTAATCAGCCTTGAGGCAAAATTGAAAAAAATATATTATTTTCATATGTTGCATTTAACTTTAATTAAAACACGAGCTTTGATTATCGTCTTTATGTAAATAAACCTCCTTTTGCACTTATGTGAGCCAAACAAAAACAAACTATTGATTTTATCATTGATTGGCCAGTAACAAGTCACAGTGAACCGACGTGTTTTTGAGCTCCGATTTATTGTTTATCTAAAAAGACAATATTACCAAAAACAAATATAAGTCAAACTAAAACAGTAATACAACGATGTATAAGTGATAATATTAATTGTAGTCATCTATTTCGCGACAAAAGTGCAATTAAAGAGGTATTTATTTATGAAAATATCTATTAAGTTCAACCAGAAATTTGCGAAGAAAAAAATGTCTTATTCGTACGTATGTTTTAAGTTTTCAATAGTTGATATTATTTGAAGGTTATGTAAAGGATTTTACGTTAATTTGTACACTGTTTAGCCCATCCCGCCGCGACAAAACTGATGGCTACATTTTTATAGCTAGGTTACATATATTTCACCATACTTACGTCTTAATTTGATACAAAATCATTTAAAAAAACCAACTTAGGATAAAATGCCAAGTTAAATTTAAATAGATAAATAATTACTTTTATTACAAAAAAAATACATTCTTACCTTAATTTCTGCAGGCGCTGCAATTGGTGGAGCATAGTAAATCATTGGCTTAGAATATGTGGCACCAGGTACTGCAGAAGCTACCTTAACTTCATATATGCCTCCATATAAAACGTTGAAAATGTAACTTGTTGGATGAGAGCCGTTCGCCGTGCGATGGTAAGTTTGAGTCGTGCCTTGTTCTCTAATTTGGATCTGAAGAAAAAAAAAATAGAGATAATATATTATAGATATTAGATAAATTCCTGAAAAGAAATACAATTTAAACAAACACTTACAATGTAAGAATCAGGCTGGATCGACGGACAAGGTGGAATCCACTGAATTCTCATTTTAAGCGGATCACCTCCTTCCGAAGTAACGGACAGTTTTTTAGGTGGCGCCTTGCTGTTGCCTGATGTACTGATTTGTTTAATACCTCCTGATAGAGGACCGTAACCTAACGGTCCGACTAGTCCTACTGAAAACATGTAGATTTCACAAGCTTCCAAGTTCAAGATGGTTATGTTTTCATTTGCAGTCCTGTTTCTTGGCTCTGAAAAAAAAAAAAAAAAAGTTCGAATCATAGATGGCCCAGCAAAAGGTCCAAGACGATTCTAGGCCACAATAGGTCCAGCCTACATCAGTCTTAACAAAAAAAATAATAAATTTATATATTAACTTTTCCATAATCCCCATCCTTAAGCCAATTGGCGCCCCCCACTTTCGCAGCTCAACAGCCGCCACTGTCCCTTGCATAAATCAATTGTTGTTTTATTATAAATCAATGAGGTGTCATCGGCATATTGTACTAAAATTTCATTATCATCTAGTAGTTCATTTATATAGTATGTAAAGTAAGAAAGGAAGAAAATGAAAGAAATTTATTAAATAAATTATCCTAATATACATACAATTTATAAATGCTGTTGAACAGTCTTGAATACAATTTATAATATTAAATACTAACAGATATAATATAAAATAAGAAAAGACCCAATATTGAACCCTGTGTCACACCTTTTTTTTTATATATTCAATATTTGATTTAACTAGACTATTGTTATCATCAAAATGTGTGACACGTTGTTGTCCACTAGGTAAATATGATTTCATAAGAACTATGATTCCCATTTCCTACATAAAATGTTGTGATCAACACTATCAAGGCTTTAGACAGGTCCAGACATAGCGCTGACGTCTATTGCTTTTTATTTAAGAATTCAATCATTGTTGTCAAAGCTTGATATATGACATGCACTGTGCCTTTTCCCTTTCTGAAGCCACTTTGACAGTTTAATAAAATTTTATTACTTTCTTTTCTAAAGTATCAATTCTGCTAGATATAATTGTTTCAAATATTTCGTTTATATTAGAAAGTAAGGAAATTGGCTTGTAATTTTTAATATCACATTTTTCACCTTTTTTATATATTGCCCTCACATAAGCTAGTTTTAATTTTTCTGGGTAGACACCTGACTACAATGTTTAAAATAATCAGGAAAAAATAGTACAGGAATAACGTTTATTAAATACAATATGGAAGCAAAACGACAAAATATAGATATTTGCCCATTCCTGGCAAATTACACAGGGCAACGCTTCAATCAGGGATCTCAATTTATCGAAAAAAGCTTCTGAAGTAGTGGCTTCTAGGTTGAAAAAACATTTATTGGAACAAGGAACCAAAATTACCTTTTACCGTACAAGAGAAAAGTATCTGCTACCATTCTTTTCTCAAGAAGACAATCTTGTATTTTGTCACGAAATTAATGGACTCATAAAAGAAATGGGACTTTCTGAATATATTCCAGATGATAGGCGCCTATTTATTGACAGTTCAAAGCGAAGTTTAAAATGTGTCCTTCTACATAATGGGAATAAATATAGTTCAATACCACTAGCTCACTCAACGAAACTGAAAGAAGAATATAATACCGTAGCTTTGGTCTTGCAGAAGAAAAAGTATCACGAACATCAATGGATGATTTGTGTAGACTTAAAAATGGCAAACTGTCTTCTTGGGCAGCAAAGTGGTTACACAAAAACTAAATAAGTGAAAAATTGCTAAATGGGATTATATTTAAACTTACTTTCAAACATCTCTTCTTGGGAAATGCCGTAGTACACACCATACAACCAAGTGATTTTCTTCGAATCCTTAGGTCGTTCCCATCTCAATTTAACTGCCGTACCGATGTCTTTCAGAAGAGTAACTTGCAAGCTACTAATTTCTGGTAAAGGTTTCCCCTTCGTTTTGACCACAACAGTTTGTGTCGGACCGACAAGGTTGTTCTTAAAAGCGTTAATCTGGAAGTAAAAATATATAACTATCTAAACAACGAGAAAATTATTATTATATTATTATTATTATTTTACAAATGATTTGTCTAAAAACAAAAATACAAATATTGTTCTTAGTGTTTTGAAAAAGTATCCGGAATGGAGAAACATTTAACTGTGTGTCTTCTATGGACAAGGTTGACTAATTTTCACTACTAGTGTTAAAACGCATGTAAAAACAATGGAAATGTCTTGAAACAATGAATGCTTTCATGCAATAAGTGCATGAGATAATTTATGCTAGATTTGGAAGCTTTTAACAAATATGTAACAGTTCATTTCATAGATACCCCACTTCGCCAAAGTGCATATTCCCGAACAAAAATTTTAACATTATTGTTTCAACCTAAGAGTTACAAACCTATTTTCCCATTTTCTCCAATTAATAAGTGTGTGGCTTAGCTCTTTTCACCACCAATACGACGAAATATAGGGTGGCCACTTTTTCATTAAAACGTATTGCTATCTCGTAAACCATTGATAACACAAAGTTGGTTAAATTGGGAAAAACTTGCACTTTCGAAGCACAATCTGATATTTTGATAACCAAAATATCAGGGCCGGTTTTCGAGATATTCGATAAAACACAAATGAGTTACATTTCTTTATGTTTGATATCAAGCTGTGCCTGTACCTGATGATGTTCAAATTTTCCGGAATGTTGACTAATCACAATATCCTGTTACATCATTGCGTTTAACATTAAACATGCATTAAAATATGAGTCAGAACAATACTGGTCCATATTCTAATAAAGAAGTTGATGGTGGTCCTGCATTTACGAAACGTCGGAAAAAACTAAATACGTTATCATACGCACAATTTGATTTATAACAAAAAACCATAAATGATTTTTTTCCATTTTTGTAAATAAACATACTGTAGTGTCTTTTATCGAATATCTCAGAAACCGGCCCTGATATTTTAGTTTTTGAAACTTCATCATATTGTTCTTCGAAATATGAAACTTTTTCACCATTTAACCAACTTTGTCCTAACGAGATATCAATACATATCAATGAAAAAGCGGCCACCTTGTATTAAAATGAGATAAAAGATAGTAATTACATTTAACAACAGATTATTATTTACTACAATATTTGATAATTGACAGGGTCTCCTGCTTATGTTACAAAAATCATAAGTTTCTGAATATGAACGGATAGTCGAACTTAAACAATAATATAACCATAATATAACAAAGAAAATCAAGTTTGTAACGAAAGAAAATTTAGTTATTTCATTTAAAAGTTAAACCAACCTCAACTCTGTAATTAACTCCAGGCGCCAATTTCATGGTTATATTTTTTGTTTTCGTCACTTGCGGCGGTAATTGTGGATAGGGAACCTCGGCGAACGCTTTAACATTGAAACCGTCCGCTTCATCGTCATATTTCCAACTGAACGACATCGCATCTTCAGACTCCTTTATATTTATGTTTTTGATTACAGATACATTGGTTTCGCCGTCGAATTTCAGAAAAGCTGGAGCTGATTTTGCACTTGAATATTTTCTGTTGTAAGCAACAACCTAAAGAAAAACAAAAATTAAATGCATTTCTGTTATTTACTAATAATTCGTAATTAATGGTGGTTGGATAAGAATATAAATACTTTCCAGTTAGAATTACAGAAACTGAAAAAAACACTTACCCAAAAAGTGTAATTAACCCCATGTTCAAAATCGGGCGACAGCAAATGGGCAGTTTCGTTCCCAGACAACTTCAATTTGATTTCAGACGATTTCGCAGATTTCCAAGAGATTTCATACGATACCACAATGCCCTTAGGCGAATGAGGTTTATTCCAAGACACCAAAATGTGCGACCCGTTCCTCTGCTTAACTGTAACGTTCCACGGTTCGCTGGGAACCCCCTCGCCGGTCGTCGATACGTTAAATATGGCCGGCGGGAAGACATTGTTAGTATTTTTGATTCTGACGTAAACTGTGAGGTTGTATCTGGTGAAAGGTTGCAAATTGGTGAATTTATAGAAGGATTTGTCCGTCCAAGATTCGTTTCTCCAATTTTCATCTCCTAGCTTTTTAATGGAGGGTTGAAATTCAACGTTGACGTTATCCGGATGAATTATCCACCAATGGAGGTAGAATGAAGACTCGTTTGTAAATCTGGCGAGTAAAAGTTATGTTACAAGATACCGATCCTACTGACTGCGTCGTGTACTAACCTTTCATCAATTTCCATCCAGGCTACTTGATATACTCGAGCTTTCTTAGAACAGTTCCTCTCATCGTAACCATCTTTACAGTCCACCTTTCCGTCGCAGAACACAGATAAGGGATAGCAGGTCTCATCGCATGGGAACAAACCTAAGCTGCAACTGGGAGCTCCTGGGCCGTCCGGCAAGTTTTGTTCGCAAGATAGTTCGTCGGTGTTGTCGGGGCAGTCAAATTGATTGTTACATACCAAGGATAACTAAAAGGAAAATTGAATAAATGAAGAGCACACAGCAAAAACGATTAAAGTCACTTTTTCTAAAAATGAGTCAAACTCACGATAAAACAGCTGAGAGTCTGTAGTATTTGCTGAACAGGTTTACGTAGTAAAGCCTATAATTATTACAAAAAAAAAAATGGTATACCCAGCAAAATCGATGAATATCATGGGCAAAAATAGTTAAGATTAGTGTGCGACGTGCCTAAAGAAGAACAAGAACAAAGACATGACGTTTTTCACATAATATTATTCAAAAAGTATTGCATATTTCTGCTCTAAGTGCATTTTGGTTTCAAAACATAAAATTTTCAATTTATAGAGAATTAACTTTTAATGACTTTTATCATTTTTCTCTTTGGACTCTTTAAATATGTATTAAAACTCATTTTTCAGAGGGACAAACACAAATAGTTGTTTTGTGTTGTAAAACAGTCGTGGATAGTTTTTTTTTTATCATGTTATTACTCACCGGAATACAACTTCCGTCAACTTGACACCTAAATTGACCGTTGGAGCAATTTTTCGATTTATCGCAGTTTTTCTCATCTTCACCATCCATACAATCTTCGGTACCGTCGCATACCCAAGCAGACAGGATGCAGTCGCCCTTATCGCATTGGAATTGGTTTTTATCGCAGATGTCGTTGGGTCTTTGAGACGTTGGAGTTTCGGCTGTAGGATATACCAAGGTGGAACAACCTAATTCGTCGCTGTCGTCTCCACAATCGTCTACACCGTCGCACTTCCACCAGAATGGTATGCAACGCTGGTTCCTGCATTTGTACATCCAATCTTGACAAGTGCCATTCTGAAATAAGAGTTTATTAAGATTGAAGTTAATTGGGTACAAAAAACGGGAGAAGAGAAAGTTGTAAGTGAAACGTTGCCAAATTTATATTGATAATGAAAACTTTTGTGCAGGTTTGGAAGAGCCCCTCTGCAGAAGGCAATACAAATAAAAACAAAATTTAATAGAATCTCCCTATTTATAACAAAAAAATAGGGAAAATAAATATGTTTAAAGCAAAGACATTAATACTAAGAAATCAAATCGTTTACATTTTTATATGGCAAATCATTATTCCCACCAGATTCTGTTTATTGCGTCTTCGCCGGTTTTATCAGTCATTGAAAAATGATTATCTAATCTAATTTTTCTGACAATTTACTGTAGGTTTGATACTATACAATTTAAATTGAACAAGAAATAGTATCAAAATCTTGTAATTGTGTAGTCTAAAACAGTCTTTAAAGTGATATTCCTTTTATAAATTAGTAAATTATTCTTATACCAATAAATAATTATTGAATAGTGGCAAAGAAAATTTAACGTAAAAATACCTTAAAAATGATTTACCTATTAGGCACCTATACATATTTTTTAATATTCTATTTAGGTTTCCGCAAGATACTGAGAAAATAAAACTTTGGTTTTCTCTAGTAGAGATCTTTGAAAATCAGCCCCTTCGTAAAAACCCAGAGTTGTGTTCAGAACACTTTTGTCCTGAAGATGCAAATGTGCAAACTAAATTAAAATAAACTTGATTCTTTTATAATATGTGAAAGCAGCTTTTTAATAAAATAACCCTAAATGAAAATCAAATCTTTATTAAAATAACTAATTTACAAATCTAGAGCTACTAAAAATCTCACAATCAAATGCCGATTCCCGGACTGGCTTGAAAAATATGCGAGTTAAGTACCACTAACTTCCTTATCTTTAACAGAAAAATAAACAAAAGCATCTTTTAAAATTCTCTCTTACATGGACTTATTAAAAAAAAATATATTGAAAGTAATTATTGAATCAGCTGTCACTTCTGCATTAGTTTATTTTACATTATACCAAGTACTAGTATAAACACTAAACAACATTTTAAGATTATTTTACTTACTCAGTGAACAATGGGCATTTCATCCCACTTCTGTATTTGTTATAATCACATTTTTTACGATATTTTTTGCCATGCTATGTTTTTGTAATTAATAATTAAAAAAAAATTATATTTTTAGGACAGTGTTTTATATAGATACCTCTACCTACCTAATGTTGATATAAAATTTTAAATAATTTTGGTTAACATCATACTAGGCAAATATATAGTAAATGCCAATAAACTATAAACCAATAAATATGAAAATTCGGGAGGTAACTTGAATTCTCTTGTATTTGAATTTACTTGTACTTGAATTTACCTACATGAAAAAATATACTTATTTAAGTATTTTTTTGCCATACTACTCTGACAATACTGGTAAGTTTAAAATTCTACTCCACTGGCGAGCATATTATGGACACTCTGTTTACAACGTTGCCAGCCGGTTCAAAGAGATCTGTCTTTCTCTCTCCCACTCACTAACAATTTTAAAACAATAACAGTGCGCAATTATATGGGATTTATGAATAAAACATTTTGTAATGTCTTTGGTTTAAAGTAAAAAACCCTCTATTGAAATGTTCTTTCCAACTATTTATTAAAAGATTTAGATTACAGAAAATTCCAAAAATAATGGTAGAATGACTGATCTGCTAAATATATATTTTTTTAATAATGGCACTGGATAAAACCAAAAGGCCAGACTATTTAGTAATCCATAATTCTTTAATTGTTTTATCCACTATTGTTACATGATTACATTATTATTATTATTATATTTTAACTTACGGCTAACAAAATACCTGAGTAATTAATTATATAAATATCCATTTTTTTTAATTATATGTATTTTTGTTTATTGTTCTTTTATTTTTTTTTGTATTATTTTTGTTTTTAATTATTTTTTGTTTTTTTTTTTCTATAATTTTTTGTTTTTTCCTTCGTTTCTTTTTTATTTTATCATTTACTTTATTTTTTCGTTTCAGGTTTGCAATATTTTTAGGGTAGCTCATCTACTTATATTAGCTTTTTTAACAAATTCATATATTTTATAAACTTTAACATCGTTTAATGAAAGCAAAACATCAATGTTTAGTGGTAGAGGTATACCAATATTAATTAATTTTGAGTACATTGTGTCAGTATCTAGCGAATTTAGGACACACTCTCTCATACGACAAATAACTCAGACAAAAGACCTATTTATTTCATTTTTACTTTCCTATCTGTATACAGATATAAGGAAAGTATAGGAATCATGATTTTTTTCGACATCGAGTTTTGAGGTCCCCTGAATCCGTTTTGACTATTTTCGCGATGATGTCTGTGTGTGTGTGTGTGTGTGTCTGTATAACGCATAACTCATGAACCGATACACAGAAAAACACCAAATTTTAAACTTAAGCTTTGTTTCAGCGTCCAATGAGCTGATTAGATTTTGAGTCGGAACATCTGGGGGGGTACTTTATAGGTGGTCATTTTTATATTTTATGGAATATATCTGTTATTTACGTTTGGAGAAGAAAATTCTTCAAATAAAAGTTCAGCGTTGATATTGACATTGTACTGATAAGTTTAAATGTAATTTCATAATTTTTGTTAGGATACAAAATATTTGTTGTGTTAACGATATTATAAGGCATATGCAACAAAATAAATGGAAATATTTAGAAAACAATAATATGTAAACATAACTTTTTAAAATAAACTAAAATAAATGTGCCATAATATAACACAGACAGAAAAGAATAGTACCTTCTTTTATCTCCCTCTTAACACAATGTTTTCCATTTATACACAGTGCAAGCGAAATATTTTAAAAACAGTTAAAAATCTAACCAATAGAATTAACATTTCAAATGTCTTTTTAACAGTCAATGTGAGATTATAAATAGAAGAAGTGATTATTAGGCATGCATTATTTGTCTTATATCAATACAACACGGATCATACATCCGTTGCTTTCATATTTTAAGTTCTTCCACTCACACCGACAAATCTCTTATTAACTGAAAACTGAAGTTGTTAATTTGACTGATATATTATTACAAAAGTTCACATATATTTATTTATATATTGAATACATATTTTTGTTCCAAAGCAGCTTCCTTTGTGTTATTGTGAAAAAGAAAGTGCCCACACCAGGTCAGGTCTACAAAAATATAAAATGATTCATCCTGAATCTCAAATACACAGGATAAGATCAGCTGTTTAAATTTAGATAATTTTGAAGCAAACACTCACCCTACTCTCAAACTCCTCCGGCAATTTGGGTACGCCAGGGTTAGAAGTAAACGTGCAATTCTTTTCGTCTCTACCATCGGCGCAGTCTCTGTCCCCATCGCAGATCCACGACGTGTAAATGCATCGATTATTCGGCGGGCCGCACGACATTTGCGATTCGCTGCAAGTGTTATTGGAACAAGAAGATTCATCGGAACCGTCCGTACAGTCGGGTTCGCCGTCGCATTTCCAAGTCGTAGGGATGCAAGTAATGCCGCCGGCGTTGCAATGGAACTCATCGTCTAAAATATTTTTGACATTCTTAATAAACGATGTAAAATTTATATATAGTAAGAAAATAACACATCAATCCAACATAAAATTATTTATTCAAAAAATTGACAACCGGTTTCGGCCTCAGGTTATCATCAGGTGTACAAATAAGAAGAAAAATGTTTGGTGTTACAAAGCGTTATATACTTAAAAATCAATTAATTGGTATCTTAAAAATACAGTATAACATTTAAATGGTTACTACTCTAGAACCCTCAATTAAATCAATTGGCTAGGAACACAATATTTTGTAGGTACAACCTCTTCACAATGAGTGAGTAGCTAAGATGGGTCATACAAGAAACTACATCCGAAAGTAAGGTCTGGATCTGAAAGATCACATTAGATGGACTGGTTAGTTGGAAAACATCAAACCAAAAGTTCTTAGATAAGATATTAGCGGGCTTAGAAGATGGAATTACCAGGACTAATAGACAGCAGACTAGTATGTAGATGGAAAAAAGGTTGTAACGGATGTAAGAATGTTAAATCTGCTTAGCTTTATGCAGTACTTGTCTGTTACATCATTAAAAGTTAAATCACGCCTGTTCAAACGTTTCTCTTTCTCTAATTACGAATTTGGTTTACTTAAAAATTTCGTTCAGATGTCGGAAGATTTCAAATTTTCCATATTGCTCTCATTCTGACGGAATGTGTGGCACAACAAAATCTAAGAGCAAGATATTTAGGAGTATGCAAGAGAGAAGAGGGCGACCTACCCAGCTTGATAGGATTTGGAGGACCGCTATAGACGTCGAGACTATTTCCTTGTCACCTTAGTGGCAAAAAGGGACACAAAAACACAATAATCTTTTAGATTGCAGTGTATCTGACACCCCATAACAACATATTATATTTCTCAGCTCATAAGATTGTTTAAAGTCAAAGAGAAAGGGCGTTAATTATTTTTAAAGTGACAAATTAAAGGTTGTGACAACATTCGACAACAGCCATTGCCATTAAAGCTTTCTTAACAAAAAGGTTGTTAACTGAACCTTACATTATGGCTTTTAATTTTTACTGTTTTTTAGAGTTAACATTGTGATAAATAATTTTAATTTTTTCCTTTATTAATTTGTAACTAAAACATTCATAAATCAATTTATATTTATAATCGAAAGATATTATCGAGTTTATTTGTGTTATAATAGTTTATACAAGAGTATTACATTAATGAGAGACTTACTTTTGCAAATAATTGGTTTTCCATCGTTGCAGTTTCTCTCGTCAGATCCATCCCTGCAGTCGTTTTCTCCATCACATCTCCATTTAGTAGAGATACACCTTCCATTTTCACAAGGCCATTGACCATCAGTACAATTTTGTTTAGGACAGTTGGCTTCATCGCTACCGTCAGAACAATCAGCATCGTAATCACATCTAAAACAACAAATTATAAATGGAAATTTGCTCTCTTCAATAAAAAATGTATTATTAATAAAAATTATCAAATAAGACTGGAGGTAGCATAAAAGGTTGTTAATAATTAAGAGATGGATGAGGAAATCCTGAAAAAACCTCAACTACCGTTAACAATTGGACAACAAAGTATCTTTCATATGACATTTTAGACAATATTAGCCGAAAATGTACCATCAAGGACCTAGTATATCAAGAACGAATCTACAGCTGAACAGAAACTTGATGAAAACAAACAACACTCAATATAATGATTCTAGGTTTAAGTTGTAGATAAAATTTATCATTAGGGCGGGTTGAATAGTATAGTAGTTGGTTAACCAACAGGTTTTATAACCAATGGGTAATTTTTAACCAATGGTTAAATAAAATTCTATTGCTGAGAAATTGGCTTGACATTCCATTTGCTGTCAGCTGGCATGTTTATTCATCATCTTCATTTAGAATTTGTTAAACATTGTATATATTTTTATTTAGTTTGTAGAAAAGCTCAACTATATAAACTATTCATATTGTATGTTTTGTTTGGTCAGAGTCTACTACTAGTTTTCTTTAATTTGTCCAGTTTATTCTTATTTAAAGATTATAAATAATTAAACCTCAATTAAAGAGTAGTTATAACAAGAGAGAACAGTCATAGCAAGGAAAAGATAGCACTACACTCCAATTTTAAAGAATGTCAGACTATGGCTGATTATCTTAGTATGTTGTCTTAAGGTGATTTTTATGCAGTTATGTTTTAAGTGTTAACTAGTATTGACTGAGCCTCTGTGATTTTATTTGTTTAGTTTTAGACTTATTTTTATTAATAAAATTAAAATGTTTAATAAAAAATGAAGGATGTAATTTATAAAAATTTCGTACGTCCATAATTCTATCGATTCATTTACATTTTACACCAGATGGGCCAGCAAAGTTTACTTAATTTTTTATATGTCTCTTCAATTACAATCATATATTAGGTTGAAAAAAGAATTTGTAGTCAGTTTGGAAACCATATATACATATTAGAAAAAGTTTAAAGAAAGGTAACTAGAATTCCTTTAGACTTTCAGGGCTGTAGTTAAATAACTAAATAGAAACGCTTTCTATTCTGCAATTCCAAATCCATAAAAACGTAGAGGTGACCTGAAGTTTATCAGAATAGAACACATAGAAGACATTCCAAAAAAATATAAAAAGAAAAAACTACACAAGCAACCGTAGTTTTCAATATTTTTATTTTACACACACATCTATGCATTTTATTTTTGATTAATATTTTATATTTAAATTTAACTACAATGCTTTATCATGAGTGGTAAGTATTAAATACCATTTCATTTCAATTTCTTGATAGTTTCGACCTTTACTTGATGAAAATCTATATTATTAAAATGAGAAAAACCAAACATGGTAGATTTTCACACTTTTATTTAAACAAATAAAAATTAAAAATTGCACGACAATGGTTTCTAAGTACAACTTCTTCTTCAAATGTGACTCACTTACATTTCCAATACATGTACAAAATAAACTAATTAGTTAAAGTAGGTACTTAAGAGAAATATATTAATAAAATTCCAATAAAATATCATTACCGGGATTATCTCACAGAAAACTAAGAACAGGTAAAGAGATTTAATTAAGCTCAGTTATTAATATCTAATTGATCACTTAAGAGGATATTTTAATTTTTAAATCTATTTATTTCAAGTGTTTCTAAATGGTTTAATTTAATGCCTTTATTCTCAAAATGTGAAACAATTTTTGTATAAACGATTGATTTTCAGATAAACATGTTTTGTAGAATTATTTTTGTTTTTAGTATAACTATTGTAATGTTTTAAATAGCCTTTTTTTTTAAAGTACGGCCCGTTTGACCAATATACAATTTTACCACAATTTAATTTATTTGAATAAGGATAATTTCCTAATAATAACACTAAGCAATATGTATGAACAAGTATCATTCACTATTTTCCATTTATTTTATGTCTTAAAATAACGCGCCCCTGGTTTACAACTTTCTAGGTAAGCTACCAATTCTATTCATCTGTAGGCGTGTTCGTAGCATTATACATGCGCGCGTCCTTGGTTCTTTAGATTTGGCGTTTAGTTAATGAACGTAACTTTTTATAATAATCAGTCTTACTGATCTTTATCAATAATAAAATTTATTACTTACTTCCAATAGTTGGGCAAACACTTTCCATTTCCACAAACGAAGAAAGATGGCGGACACGTGTCCGTGTTGCACTGAAATTCGTCCGACCCGTCCCCGCAATCGTCTTCTCCGTCGCATTTCCAGCCTTTCGGTATGCAAACTCGGTTGCTGCAGGTGAAATGTTCGGGGTTACAAGTATTACCAACTAACGGACACGTCAAGTTAGCCAACGGTTCCACGTCGCCGGGGCACATACATTTTCCGTTTTTCATGTTCAAACCGTCGGGACAGAGACAGGCTTTTCCGTGTTTGGGCAAACCGACGCAGATGTAAGGGCAATCGGATTTGGCGCACGCATTCGTTCCTATCTGGATACCGTGAGCGAACACTTTGAGATCCATCAGTCCGGGCATTTGCTTCAAAACCACTTCGACGCCTTTATAGTTATCCTTATCGGCGCTATATATCGAGTTCCTCTTCCAGTCGTCCCAAAACATGTTATTTTTGAATACGGATATGGCGAACGGGTGCGAAACTACTTCCGTTTCGGATACGACTTTCAGAAAACCGTCGCCGTGTAGATCCGAGCTTCCGATGTAGTCTAATCGGGCGTCTACCCAATAGATTCGGTTGGCGAAGTAGTCGATCGTTATGCCGTTCGGCCATTCTACTTTGTCTTTTCCGAATAGGGTTATGTTGTTGCTGCCGTCGAGGTTAGCTCGGTTCACGGAGGGATTTTCGGCCGACCAGTCTGTCCAGAATAAGTAACCGTTTTGTGGATGTAAAACAATACCTGAAATTAATGTATTTTATAAATATACATGCAAATATTATACATGGTGAATGAAGCATTTAAATTGGAACACCCAAATATTGCGACAAGAAATCGTTATTTGACATTGAAGAGTAGGTATAATGGATATTAAATATATTCGTTTAGTTGAACGCAATGGCATACTTTTTCGTTTTGTAGTATGTGCGTAGAAAATCTAATTTCCATATAAGGGTAGAAAAAAGTTATTAATGAAGCGAACTAGAGATTTGAATCTAAGCCATTATTTCTTTACAACCTTACAAAATTACACTCCTTAAACGATTCTGAGCTATCTACCATCCTACCAAAGCATTTGTTAAAATCATTCAATTAAAAGTAGTTTGTGCAACAAGAGTGGATATGATGACCATATCGCACGAGGACGAAGTTTGAGCACGACGCCGTAGTTTTTTTAAGCACCCACACATTTTTAGGTTCTTGGAATATTACAAAATATTCTAAAAAATCAGGTTTTTAAAAAATAAGGTTCTCTAGTTAGTTAGAAAAAAAAAAGGAATTTTTCTTAAAATATTTTATATAGTTGCCTAAAAATGTGATATTTGGAAAAAAAAACTTTGTAGCCAGCAGAAAGCTGTGTTTAAAAATGGCAAATTTTTTCAGAATATTAAATATTTCAAGAACCTAAAAAATGTGGTGTAATTGTTTTTAGAAAATATTTCGAAGTTAACATAGCACGCCGTTTTTTTTTAAATAGTAAATGTTGCATAGTTGTTTTTATAAAAACACTGCAAAAAATTAAAAAAAACTAAAAAACTAAAAAAAAAAAATAAAACTAAAAAAAAAAAAAATAAAAAAAAACCGATATGCTATGTTTACTTAGTTCTAGCATCCTGTATTTTTTATTTATGTATTTTTTCGTTAGAAGCTAGCAGAACATGTTGATTTTTGTAAAAAAGAAAAGCATAAAATTTTTGAATAGGATATAAAAATTGCCTTAAAATAGCCTAAAATTATGGCAAATATTTCAAGTCAAAATTCCTTAGGGCCCTGCTGCCTTCTTTGGCATTACACAGACACATACAGGGTGGACCAATCTTGTGGAAAAGTTCGATATCTTCCTTATTGAAAGAGATATTAAAAAAGTGTATTAAGAAAATTATGGACAGGTTTGAGGTTAACATTTTAAAATTATTGGGAGGTATACAGGGTGTTGCATAGCTCGTGTTAGAACCAAACATGTTTTTTTTAATGATAACACCAGTATATTATTTTAGATTCTGTTTACTCGTCTTTTTTCATTCTTCTAATATATGGTTTGTCTATGTTATAAAGGGTACTTTTCAAGGAATTGACATTCTTGTGAGAGAATCGTACATAGTTCAACGACCAGCAGCCAATTACACACTGTATTACAGTGTGATGGACTGGTGATTCATCGTGCAAAAACCACATTTGATGGCGAATTTGTAGGGGAACATCTTCGAGTAACGTAGGCAAATGATTTTCAAGGAAATCCAAATATACTGCACTATTTACTCGTCCTTCAAAAAAGTGTGACCCTATCACATAATCACCCACAATGCCACCCCAAACATTTAATGACCACCTCATTTGGCTATGAGTGACTATAATGTGTGGGTTTGTTGTAGAATAATAGTGAAAATTATGCCTATTTAAATCTCCATTTTTATGAAAAGTCGATTCATCACCAAAGAGCACAAAATCAAAGAAATTTCTTTGTTGATTAATTTTTTGTTGGGACCATTCACAAAATATCACTCTATTTTCAAAATCCCGTTCAAGAAGTTCTTGATGTAACTGGATATGGAATTTTCGCTTTAAAAATGCCTGTAATCAATTTGATGTTATATTTTTGTTTTAAGAATTAAATAATATGTTCACACGATGAAGATTTATAATAAAAATTAATTTTCTTCGGTATAATAACTGTTTCGTATATTATAATTTTTTGTATATTTTCTTAGATTTTTGTACACCCAAGTTTCATAAACAGCTTTTACGGTTTTCAAAATTTCCGAAAGTATAGAGGATATTTCCATATCGCTACTAGATGTTTTCTAAAAAAAAAAAAAAAATAGGAAGAGTAGGTAGGTACTAAATTCCAATTTTTAAAGCTTTTACAGAACTTTCAATATCTATAAATAAACTTCTTGATCAATAAAGGTAAAAATTTCTATTTAGGTAGAGGTTTATATTAGTCAAAACCAGTTTTATAATGAGATTTAATATAAAACGGATAGCATACGTAAATATAAATAATTTAAAGTATAGGAGTGATTTTCACGATCAACTTTCTTTTTCAAATATGAACTTGTACTGATTTTTTAGTGTTACTCCACAGAAAAAATCAATTAAGTTCATCTGAACATTTTATTAATTATTATATTTAACAGGTTTCTATTTAAAAACCAAAGTAGATGTTGAAAAGGCCTTAAAAATTCGAACATCACTAAGACTGGTCTCTTGTCCCTTTAATGTCAAATAATAACGTTTATCCGAAACATTTTTGCATTATTTGGATGTGTCATCTTAAATGCCTCACCCGGTATACTGTGATACAACTTCCATGATCTTAAAGTAACCTAAATTTTGTGCACATCCTAGGACAGCCTATATTTGAGTCTACATGTATAACAAATAACATTAAAGAAATCTTACCTCTGGGTTTGTGTAAGACGGTGGAATTCAAAATGGTTCTCCTCATTCTTCCGCTATGGTTTATATTGGTCCTAATCAACTCAATTTTAGCGCGAACTCCATCGACGAAATATAACGTCTTGGATATCCAGTCGAACGCCATGCCTTCTATCGAAGCCAAATCGGTCGAAACCAACATTTCCGTACTGTTACCGTCCAAACATTGCCTTCCGATCGTATCCTCGGCAATATCGGCCCAATAAACGCAATTTTCGGCCAAATCGAAATCGATAGCGATGACGTTTTTCAAATTAGGTATAGGCAGTTTTTCCAACATTTTAGTGACTAGATTGTATCTGGAAATCCGTTCGCGTTGAGCAAATAGTATGAAATCCTCGATTTCCTTAAACGGACATGGCACAAGATCAGGTAGGTAGTGGGACTCGAAGCCTCCAACGCAAGAGTCGCCGGGTATTTTGCGGTAACCTTTAGTACGGTTATAGTATTGTCCTGGAACGCAAACTGCTGGAACTTGGTACAGGTCGATTGTCAAATTTTTGTCACGAACGCAACGAGGCGGAGATCCAACTTTAACGAATCCAAAGTCACTAAAAAGGTCAAATGATATAATAAATATATATTTTCGGCATGCATTTGGAAATGTGAAAATTAGAAACCCAATCCCAAAGTGGAAACAAACCAAAGAGAATTTGAAAAACCTAAAATAAAAAAATGTGCGATGAATCGAACCTGGATCCCCTAGTTTAGTAATTAGGCACATAGCTCCGGCAAATTTGAAAACATTAGATTCCAACTCTAGTAGGTACGAACTTTTTCGCCTGTTTTAAATTCTTCTTAAACGCGACCAATGCAACATCGGCGTGAAAGACACAACGATTAGCATGTACTAGAATGCATTCTAAATTCTTCTAGAGCGTAGAGATAGATTCGGAGATCCAAGTTCGATCCCTGGTCAAGGCACACGTTTGAAGAGCGCAGGGGAAAAATGATCAGAGTCACAAAAAACAACTTTTCGTAGAATAATCAAAACGAAGTTTACAGACTCATATTTTTACGATGTATGACTTAATTTTAAGTAAAATACGGATAATGGGATCATTTTACTCAAACTTCGGACATACCAGCAGATATATTGGGTCTAAATCTAGAAGATGGCGGTGTTAGTTCATTTTTAATAAAAATGGACTCTGCTTTATTTCCCCTGTACTATTCATATTTTTTTCTTTTCAGCTTTTTCAATTTTTTATTATTTTGTTTTCTATTTGCGATTGTAGGGATGGATTTCTTAATTTCGTAGAGGGAATTGGGGTTTTAATTTTCACATTTCCAAATGTATTCTTTAGTTTTCGGATATTTAACAGATATTTTCTCCTTTCTTTCTAAATTGCATAATTTCAGTCGTTGGAACCTTATCCAAACGTATAAAAGGTTATAGTCAAATGAAAAACTAGTCCAAAATCTTTTTTTATTTCGAAAAAACTCGAAAACTGGTTAAATTACGGAAAACAATCGTTTTGGATTAAAAGTTTTAAGTAGTGACGCAAAATAGGTGTAAAATAAGAGAAATTCATTATAAAATAGATGAAAAAGCAAGATACACAAAAACTGGTCCAAAAATCTTTTTTATTTCGAAAAATTTCGAAGAATGCCACCCAAAACCTAGCCGTTCCTATCACAGAACTGAAAAAATCATATTATACTGCATTATAAATTAAGACGTACTATTGAAAATAGGCCTAGAAAGAGTTTTATTTATACCATAACCAGAGGCGTAGCCAACCATTTTTCATGGGAGGGGTTTTTGAGAACTATGGTGGGTTCCATTAAGAAAGTGAATAAAAACAAACAGTCAATAGCGATCAGCGCTAATACTATAGAGGAAAAGGTGACGGAAGGACCCTCAATGGGGGGGGGGGGGGGTTCTGATACCCCCCCGTGTCTACGCCACTGACCATAACGGAAGCGAAAGGGATATTATCTAAATCTAGCGGCAGATTTGAACTAATACAAACATCATGAAACTAAAAATCGAAGAAAAAGATTGCATTTTTCGGAGCTGATGAGCTTATAAAAGAGTTGGCCAGTGTGATCATCCCTAATCTCCATTTGGAAGACGAAGAAGAATGATCTTTACTTTATTTAAGATAATCCGTCAATCTAAGTCGGATCGATGATAAATATTCACATACACTATTATTTGAATACATTTGCAAAATTTCCTTGAATCTGATTGTTTGAAAGATGTTTTCCTTCAAATAGTTCTATGCCGCTTTAAAAAATATCTAATTATAAATTAATAATAATAAACTCTGCTAAAAAGTAACCAATTATACTTTTTTTTTTTCAGAACCACTCAGGGTTATTTCTGTACCAAATTTCATCTGCTTAAAAATCTTTTTTACCTAAAATATTATAACTTACCATTCAAAATCTAACAGATCACATTCGCAAGTGACTGTCGACACGACTTGTACATAGTCCAATCCGTTCAGGCATTTAGCTAATGGCATTCTTCGTTCAAAAGTCTTCTGTTGTCCCATAAGACAAGGTATGTAACTGCGATTTTCTTCGCTATGACTTGGCGACCACATTTTATAATCGTCCTAAAATAAAAGTGAGAATTTGTAACGAGCATTTTGAAATGAGTGGGGAAATTAAATAACAATTCAAAAAACTAATGTTTACCTTGGTACAAGTTCGTTTGAATACTTTAGTGAGATTCACTTTCACGATAATCCATTGATGGTAGTCCGGAAGAGACCCAAACATCGTAAAAACAGTTGTATTTTCTCCTGGTTCCGTCATTAGTCCGTATGGTCTTAATTCCTCACTATGAAAGACTGTTTCATTCCAACTTTTACCTTCATCTATTGAGTATTCAATATGCCTGGTTTCGCCTTTGGTTTTGTAATACTTAACAGCTGATAAAAGACCTCCATGATCACCCATATTGAAAAAGTACAGTTCTCTAAGTGTTTGTCTCCATGTTACACCACCGTCTAAACTTATATAGATTCCATAGTGGCCCTTCAAACTCTTACCCAAGACCCCTACAAGAATTACGTAATAATTTCAAAAATGCCAACCAGAAAATGGATGTATAAAACTAACCTGTGGCTATGATGATCCCGGGTGCGGATTTACTGGACAAAATTCCAACAGATCTAGTGTCAGGCAACAGTTGGTTAAATTTTTGACTCAAATGCAACGAACAGTTCCTGGTAGTCACGCAACCAGTGGTTTGGCCTTCGACATCAGTAGCCGGAGGTTGAATTGGACGCCACGAGGCCCCGTGATCGAAGGTAATGACTGAACCCAAGTGCTGAGGTCCCAAAAGATTAGCGACTGGTTTCGATATCAGCCTAGAGGCGATATAAATGCCGGATAGACCTTCTACTTTATAGACGTCTGCAAAGGCTTCGTCTGACATGTGACTGAAATTGATTAATTTGTTTTTAACCAATTAATATCGAAATGTTATATGTATTTAACGGTTTAAGGATTTACAACCTTAAGTATTGGCACTGAAGTAATTAACAAAGTGACCCATTTGAAAGTGGGCCACCCTTATAAATTTTTTTATTTACATAGCGATTTTGACGATTTTTTTTTGAAACGTGAAGAGGGGAAAGGTGTATTTTGGAGCCAAACGGCGCACAGTGGGGCAAATCCACTTTTTAGTGGTCAAAAATAATTTTAATGAAAATTCCACACCTGTAATTTTGAACCAATCAAAATACGTGTTTTTGACAGATCACCATGGCAACGGAGGTATTTTAGTGGAAATTTTTTTCTCGTGGGGTACCCAACAACGAATTATACTGGAAATTTTTTGACGTTTACAATAACAGACCATTTTTGACAGACTGGTTTTTATTTGTTCACATAATAGGTTTAGTTTTGATACATTTTAGTTACAATGCTAAGGTGTTTTCTATATTCTTCGGCCACTTCTTTTCTTCTTAATGGCGAAAATGCAGGACTTTGGATTCTTTGAATTATGTGTCTATGTCTAATAAAATATATATAATATTTAGACACTAATTTATTCACCTTTTTCCCATTCAGCACTTTGAATTTTGCGTAGAGGTGCAAATATTCGTGGACAATTCGGAACAAATTTTCGTTTTTCAAGTTGGAGCCACAATCCTCTATTAATCCGAGTAAGTAAGTCATGGTGCAATGATTGATCATTACATCAGACAATTTCACGCATATTTTGCATAGCGTATGATTTTCAAATCGATTCATTTTTAAACAAATAGGTAATTTTGTTGGTTTTACTTGCTGTGCAATATTCTTTATCGCAACAAAACGCGAGTTATTTAATGTTTTGAACTGTCAAAATACAATGATCACAGCCTCCTACGATTGATGCTTGCTGACGCTGGTTATGAATTTCATACCATTTTAAAGCGCTCATAACGCATGTTAATAAAAACGCAGAAAAACAATTTTCTACCACTTGTAGTTATTCAAAACTTATGTAAAATTAAAGAATATACTATTTTCTATTTTCAAATGGTATTCCCATGCAACTACAATGAGTAGAAATAAGCAATTTGAAGGCCTAAATAATTGCAGCGAAACATTTTTTTACGTCGGGCCGCTTGACAACTTCAAAACTGAAATTATATTCGAGGTTAGGGTCTCAGTTAGTTACCATGACAACTCAACAATCAAGGCGACAACACCTTTTATGTTTCACTGGTGACTTGGAGAAAATAATTTGCATTGTTGAGAAACTAAAAATAAATTTTAAAAATATTTAATTTTCAACCATAATTCGGCGTGGAATTTTCTTACCGAATACCACGCGAGGTCAAATTAATATCAGGAAATTTTTTCTCACTCATGAATATTTTTAGAAAATTTCCCTCGTCTGCGACTCGGGAAATTTTCAAAATATTCATGGGCTCGAAAAAATTTCCGGAAATAATTTGACCTCTAGTGGTATTACTAGTGATAATTTTGATTGTGGGCATCATTTTGGATGGATAGCAGCCCACATTGCATAAATTAGGTTGAATACAACAAAATTACACATAGTTTGCAATAAAAATTTATTTATTAGGCGCCGTTTACTATACTATATGATATGCGACTCGCACAGACATATACTTAAATTCTAAAAGAAGGCAATAAAAATAGGTTCACAGTCGCGCGATATGTTGTGCAATTGCGCGATATGCAGTTCTTAATATTCTGGAAAAACAGAAATATGCAATTTATTTTGTAAAAAGTTTTCGAAAATAACATTTAATTTGATCAAAATACTGAAACTTCTCTCTTTGCATATACGAAATTTCTTATCAGTGGCGGCTCATGACCAAAATATTGGGCGTTTACAATGACAGTACAGTTGTAGGTAAAAAAAAATTCAGTGTGACCTATATTCTGTCATTCTGAACACCAATATTTTGGTCACAAGCCGCCAGTGATACGGATCCACTACGTATTTTTGGAAAGGCGAGAACACATTGTTTTAAATTGGACTGTTCACATATATGCAAAGAATACGCAACCACGTGGCATATGCTGCCGGAAATATGCACCTACGCATGTACGTGCCGAGATCTGTCTACCGGGATTCCGAGAAGTTGACAGAAGACAAGTTATTTCCTCAGCGAGTGTTCACACTGTTCTATACAAACTGACGATCACCAAAAAATAAATAAGCACAAAATCTGCACAATTTGAACGCATAATGTAAACGCACAATAACGCAGAATGTGAACGGACAGTGTGAACACCAGTGGCGGCTCTTGACTAAAAAATTGGGGGTTCACAATGACAGAATATAGATCTCAGTAAAGATGTAAGTACAAAACTTTAAGTGCTTTAAAAAGATTTTAATATACCTTTCTAAACTCTAAAGGTTTTTTCCTACATATGTTCTGATGTCTATATTCTGCCATTGTGAACTCCCAAAATATTGGTCACGAGCCGCCACTGGTAAACACACAACTCTTGCCGGTAATACGCATACGTATTTTACGGATTCTAAAAATACGCATAGTGTGGACCCGACCTTAATACATTTTTATAGAGTATATTATTGCGACTAATATAATGACAATAACAAAAAAAATTACAACGCAAAAAAGCGGAAACATGCGGAACATATTTATGCTTAAGCATCATTATAAATATACAAGGAATCGTTATAGTCATCAAATTAATTTAAGACTGATTAAGAACATTACTATAAATTAAGATTTTAAAGAAACCTTACAGAATTTTGTCATATATTGACACACATTTCAATATTTTAAATTTGAAAAAAAAAATTACCAAGTTTTTTAAAAAAAAATAAGTAAATTATGTAATACTTAAGACATGGAACAGCATCCATACTAAAAAATTATTCTTAATAAAAGCAAACAACTCTTATCACTGTCAAAAAGTACTAAAAGATTGAAGATAAACAAACGTTTACATTCCTGTACCACAATATGCATTGGATAGGTGGTTCAGTTAGCTTCAATTCCTTTTTTTATGGCCTCGAGATGACCCTTCATTGCTGAGTTATCAGAAAATGAACGAAACTGCGTCATTTCCTCTTCTCTCGTCAATATCTCAGGAACCAATGGCCACTCAGAAAATGGAAGGGGGGTTTCGGAAACTTCGATTCATTCTCTACAAGGTTCTGGCATGTTCTTTCACGAGAAAAATTTTTTTCATCCCTAGCATGGCTTTGAAAAATTTCGGAAGAAATTGAAGGATCGCGTTTTTTCTATCCATGATATTTATCAGGATTTTGTGCTAATTATTGGTTGGAAATTTTTTTTATCGCAAGATCCATAAACTAGACACTTCAAGCTTCAAATTGCTTTTTCCTTTCATTCACGTACGACCATTTTTACCACTCGAAAAATCGCAAAAAATCAAGTTTTTTTTTGATCCCTTAATTTTTTCCACTAGTGTAGATATTTAAAAAAAAAATTGCGTGCGCCACTGGAATCGGCGTCCTCTGAAATATATATATATATATATATATATATATATATATATATATATAGATTCGTCCTGCCGACGTTGTGACATCATGTCGCAAAAATGTTAGTATCTTTGTAACATCCGTTTACGATGTGACATCCAATTTCGGATGTCACAACGTTTTTGGGGTTCAAACATCATAGGGGAGGTTTAAAAGAGTGCCAAAAAAATTTCAGCTGGATGTCATAATGCTTCATTTTCAATTTTGTGTATAAATTTAGTTCCAGTGTATAGATGCGAAGGTGGCGCTCGCGTCAGTTGGTTTTGTATATTTTGTATATTAAATATTTTAGTCCCTCGACTGTCTAACATCCACCATTAAGTATATTAGAATTTACTCATTCGACTGTCTGACATCCAACATTCAGTATATTAAAATTTACTCACCCGACTATCTGACATCCACAGTATATTAGAACTTTACACACTAGGTTATGTGACATCCAAAAAATGTATTTTAGATATATTTGGATTTTCATTTTAAGATCTATTTTATGTTAACACATTAACTGCCACAAATTTTTGTTGGGTTTCGCGCAGAGCCAACAAGTTTTTTAAATGCATTCACTCTCGGTGAATATTTAATAAATATATATTATATGCATCTATATTAATACAAGGTGTATCAAGAATGGGTGAGTGAACGATGACTGTAATTTATATTAAAATAAATAAAAATAAATAAAAATAAATAAAAATAAAAATAAATAAAAATAAATAAAAATAAATAAAAATAAAATAAATTAATATAAATTAATACAAATTAAAATCAATTAAATACATTAAAATAATTTAAAAAAATTAAAATAAATTAAAATAAATTTAAATAAATTAAAATAAATTAAAATAAATTAAAATAAATTAAAATAAATTAAAATAAATTAAAATAAATTAAATTAAATTAAAATAAATTAAAATAAATTAAAATAAATTAAAATAAATTAAAATAAATTAAAATAAATTAAAATAAATTAAAATAAATTAAAATAAATTAAAATAAATTAAAATAAATTAAAATAAATTAAAATAAATTAAAATAAATTAAAATAAATTAAAATAAATTAAAATAAATTAAAATAAATTAAAATAAATTTAAATAAATTAAAATAAATTTAAATAAATTTAAATAAATTTAAATAAATTTAAATAAATTTAAATAAATTTAAATAAATTTAAATAAATTTAAATAAATTTAAATAAATTTAAATAAATTTAAATAAATTTAAATAAATTTAAATAAATTTAAATAAATTTAAATAAATTTAAATAAATTTAAATAAATTTAAATAAATTTAAATAAATTTAAATAAATTTAAATAAATTTAAATAAATTTAAATAAATTTAAATAAATTAAAAAATTTAAATAAATTTAAGTAAATAACAGGTTAAAATAAATAATTAACACTTCTTACGGTTCATCCTAACATAAAAAAT